AATCTTAAAAAGTATGTTCTATACAATGATTGGTAACACATTGTATAAATAAGGAAATGATGGAATTTTATGACGTTGTATATTTGAAAGTGAAGTGCATATTATATTGGACAGCTATCATTTAGATAGTTGCGGAGGATATTTTGTTGGTGATAGTATTGCTCGTAAAGCTTTAATGGCGAGATATTGGTGGCCCACAATGTTTTCTGATGCACACCAATATGTATGTTGTTGTGACCCATGTCAGAAAATTGGTTGTCCTATTGGACAGTGTGCCATACCGTTGGTACTAATTTTGATAAAAGTACCATTTAAAAAATGGAGCATTGATTTTGTTGGACCCATTGTATCCACTTCACAAATTAGATAAAAAAGATATACTTTAGTCACAACAAATTATGTCACCAAAAGGACAAAGAAGGTAGCTATGAAAACTGATAATATCAATATCATTGCAACGTTTTCATATGAAAATATTATTACTCAATTTGGATGTACAAAAGAATTGATAAGTGATTAGGGAACCTATTTCACTAATACTACAATTGATACATTGATGGTTAAGTATGAAATCAAACATTGAAAAATAACTCCTTATTATGCCGAAGCCAATAGGTAGACTGAAAAGACTAATGGTATTTTATGTAAGATTTTAACTAAAACTATTTCAAAGGCAAGGACGGATTGGGATACCGAGTTATTTGTGGCTTTATGGACATATAATACAATGTATAAAGTGACTATCAATTCTGTGCCATTTCAATTGATTTACAGGTAAGAAATAATATTATCAATTGAAATGGAAGTCCAAAGTTTACAAATTGCATTAGATGAACAACTAGGTGATAAAAAGTCCCTGTAATATGGGTTAGTGCAATTAAAAAAAAATAGATGAAATTAAAGCTATTCCTCTTTTAATAATGGAAGTTACCCAAAAAAGATAAAAAAATTATTATAACAATAAACTGAGACCTAAAAATTTTATGTCCAATGTTTTAATACTACTTTATGATAATCATTTTCACAATTTTCCTAAGAAAATTTCAAGTCAAATAGCATGGACCTTATCATATAGTTGAAGGTTTTTCCAATGGATTAGTCCAATTGGAGGATTTTGTGAGTCATTAATTTACTACATGAATTAACAAGAATTGATTACGACTGTATTATACTTAAAATCCAAGATGAATTTAAATTGGTTATTAGGGAGGTGATTCCACATGAAATTGTGATAGAACTACTTATTAGTTTAGGTATTTTATGACGAAAAGGTGGTTGACAAGGTAGCTAGGGCTATAATCATTATCAGATAAGACAAGAGGAAAGTGAGGAGGGAAGAGAGGAAGGGAAAAGAGGGGGGAAAGACGTTATGATTAGCATGTTGTCATTATCACATTTGGGTAAAAGAATAAGAATGGGGCACCAATTCAAGCCTATTTTGTTGTTTTGCATTCTGTTGTTTTTTTTGTTTTGTAATATTGTGTGTTTTTAAGAGTACTAGAGAGTAATATTGATGATTAGAGCTTTATAGAGTTTGTATCATGGCAATTGAAAAAACAAAGAGAGGCACTGATAGGAAGGACAGACAAAAGAATGTGAAGGCTCAAAAAAATTAGTGCCATTGGAAATTGTGATTTTAACCAATATAAAGTCAATCCGATTGGATATTTATTGCTCTTCAATACATCAAAAAGAATTTAGGAATGAGCAAGTATATGAATTCTTATGGAGGTCAAATAATTTGCTACCAATTGATGCAAATATGTTAGAAAAGTATGTGTGGAATTACGACCCAAAATATAGTTCTAGTGTGGCGTTTGGACAGATTGTTGGGATATATGCCATTGTCTTGTAGAAGATGTTGTATCTTCTAATCTGCAAAATTTTGATAGAAGGTGAAGTGTCCTCAGATTTCAAGCCAAGAAGTTATTTCAAGATTAAAGAGTGCGCATTTGAAAAGAATCAATATTAGAAGGTGGCAGAAGCAATTATACCAAAGCTTGAAAAATGGATGCAATGCGTGCAAAAGCAGTTGGGATTGAATCAGCATACTACTTACATGTCAAAGAAACTTCATTTTGCAACAATTGGAACGATGGAAGAAATGTTGTTTAATTGGACAGCATACATGGCAAGAAGGATTCATACAAAATTGGAGTTGAAGCGGAAGTAAGAAAAGTATATTTTCCTCTTATGCTCCAATTATGTGTATGCAACAATCAGGTGTACAATGAATAAACCTCCATTAGGAAGAAAAAAAAAAAAAAAAAAAAAAAAAAGACAATATCACCACCATTTCTTGAATGATGTGCGTTTGAACTGTATAAAAGAAGTATGGTGTCATCTATAGTGAAGCTAAGTATAAGACAAGTAGAAGGTGGTGAATGCAGTACCAAGCTAGAATTACAATCACCAATTTTAGGGATGTGAAGATGAGAGATTATTCGCCACAAGTCCAATTCAATGCAGGACACACCATTTTTGATAGATCTTTACCAATTGATAAGTCAAACTGAGATAGGGCAGCAAAGAATGGATTTAAACGAGATATTGACACAGATTTTCGAATTGCAAATGATAATCAGCTAATTGGATGGAGAGAACAATCTACACATGGAAGTGGAGAAAGGAAAAAAAAAAAAAAAAAAAAAAAAAAAAAATGGACTAGAACAATCAACGTATCGCTAAATTGATCCGATGTGCAACTCAAGAAGAGGAGAACCAGTTACAAATGGAAAGGCAATAGAAGGCGGTGGAAAGAGCATAGATTAGAGAAAAATAAATTATGATGGAAGCATTAGAAATTGATAAATAGGAGTAGAAGGAATTGAGAGAGAAATTGACCTTAAAGCATGAAAAAGTGGCAGAATTAGAGTTGGAATGCAAGAAATTGGTTGAGCAATGGGCTTAGCAGAAGGAAACATTATAGATAGAAATTAGTAATTTGAAGGGCAATATGAATAAATTAAAAAATGATTTATCTTATAGGAAGTAGGCCAAGAATTCGACACCAACAGAATCAGCAGTGGATGTATTAAAGAAACAGATGGAGCAATAACAAAAGCAATTAGAGAGTAGGGAGACCATGATCTTACAATTGGAATCCTAGATTTGGGAATTGAGAACGTATAATGAAGATTTAATGGCCCAATTGAGGAAAGAATTGGATAGAGTGGAGGATACAGAGAATGAATTGTCTCCAGAAACTGAGATGGATGAAGATTAGTAGGAGATACAACATGAGCTAATAAGTGAAAAGTCGATTGAAATAATAGAGTGAGTTTTGGCAAGCCGTGTTGTAAATATTGTATTTACAACAAGGATGCTACATAATGAGGAGTGGAACTATGTAGAATGGATAGAAATTGGTTTCTATAGGACATTGGTTAGAAATAGGTAAAATAGATTAATCATCCATTGAACAATCAATGTAGAAAATAGGATGGATGATTTAGTCAAGAAAAGTGATTAAGTAAGAAATGTTGATTGAAATCTCTCTTTTGGATATAAAATAGTTAGAGTGGAAGTATAGTGGCCCAAACTGTGAGAGTCATGAGCCAAAGTATGTTTAGTACTATCCATATTGTTTTTATTTGTGAAAGAATTGAAGATTGGCATATCAATTTTAGAATATCAAAAGAAAAAATTAGTTTTAAAATCCAAGACAGTGAGAATTTTTAGTGTTTGGATTGTTAAATCAATGTATATTGATTGTTTAGAGTATGCAGTAATTTACATATTATTATTATAATATGAAAGAAAAAAAGAGTGAATGAAAGAAGAAATTGGAAGAGATAGGATTACCGGTTTTAATATTTGATTGTATTGGAAGGAAATCAATAAAATGAAGGTTACAATATAACATTCTATGGGTGTTTGTGATTATAAAAGAATGGATTTCAACTTGTCAATTTCTTGTTAATTGAGTGAGCCTAATGTATGAATCTCATACAAATTAGTCTTTCCCCGTGTTTGAATCCATCTATATGAGTTTATTTCAAGTAGTTAATTGCGGAAGAAGTAAAACGACAATCACAATCACTCTATTCTTAATGGCATAATATAGTCTTTTGGTCGATGCAATTATTTGTGGCACCCATGCCATATCTTGCTCTTTGTAAATAATATGTATTTTCTTGCTTTTAGCATAATTAGATCTTTATATGGTTATTAGATCTTTATTCCAAAGTTGAAACATGCAAAAGCCAATATTGGATCTATATGACAATTAATCTTTGTAGAAGGATTTAAATAAAGATAATTTTAACCAATATTTTTCCTATAAAAAGAATGTCTCATATTAGTTGTTTAAGGCCTTCTTTGCATGATTTGAGTCAAATATTATTTTTTTTATTGCCCACAAAATATACATTTATTATATTCCAACATAATTTATTTTCTTCTTTTTTTAGATGGAAATGGTCTACTACAACTTTTCTTAGTTTTGTGCCTAAGGGCAATCTTACATAACTTTTGGAAAATCCCAAAGAAAGATATTTACTTGGTGTGTATCTAATTAGATGTGATTCACTGTTTTGGCAATATAAACCATAAAAAGTAATCATATATTATTCCCAATTTAAGTCCATGAACAAGTTGATGCATTCATATTGAGTTGTGATACCTCCATCTATGTAAGCCAACCTAATGATGCTATATCCCTAATACAACTAATAAATAAAAGAGAGAAGAAAACATTACATTGTAGAAGATTTTATTTCAAAATATAATAGCAAATTAACTTAGAAATATAGATAGTAGTGAAAGAGGTTGAAAAACAAATAAATATTGATGCTATCTTTTTTTTGTTAAAAATGCAATTTATCTTTGACAGCTAGATGCCTATTACATTTCCAAATTAGTTTTCACATCATACGGCAACATTGTTGCTTGTGTTTTTGTCTCCAAACTCTAAATCCAAAATAAACAAATAAATAGAATAAAAAGAATAATGAGCACTGCGAAAATCAACTCAGATGGGTGCTGCTTAGACATGGGGATACAAAAAGAAAAAATTGACTTTGTGTTTTTGTTTTTCATTTACAAGTGTTCAGCTCAGGAACGGGCCATGTTCTAGTGTTGAAGAGTCTATCTCACATTGTCTACCACCATTTCGGGCATGACATGTGATTAACAACTGTACAACCTCTTCCAAGGCAAAGAATGAAACCTATCGAAACAATTGTTGGTGAGAATTATGTACAGTATTTACAACTAGAATGTAGCAGCTCGATGCTGCCATAATAGTGTAATGACCTGTGGATTTCCACGTCTATCAGCGTTCACATGAGACCAGCGACGCTTGGAGTCCGCTCCAATGAGGTGGTCTTTGAATCGTCAATTGAGTACAAACGCCTTAACTGCTCTCGCTGGAACTCCAAGGCTATCTTGCCGCAAGGCTTTTCCACAGAAGATGATCGCCCAAGAGGTGTTTCTCCGGGAACAACGGCCTGTACTGTAGAAAGGACCTCCACAAAGTCACCCATCTTCAATTTCTGTTCTAAATTTTCGACAAATTGATGATTTACTTGTACCCGCAGCTCTTTTTGATGGCCATAATTAGAGTTCACAGCAAAAGAATCCATATCGGACTTCCTCATAGACACCAAATCTCCTACTGTAGAACCCGGAGGCATTTCTAGCACTACAATCTGCAGAGCAAAATGCAAATGGTCAGCCACAGTGAACATCTCAGCAAACTAAAACTACTTCTCAATCACGCAAGTAACCATCCAAACTCTATTTTCTACACTACCGAGGACATACAGTACTGAACAATCGAAACCAACACTACAACCGCTCACTCCTTGGCTCCTCGAGATCACAAATGTCACGATGCATTTGTTTTGCTGATATATAATGTACGTAAATTCTCAGCACCAAGTTTAAGTCAATGCAGCTAACTTGTCAAGATTCAAAGTGAGTTCGGAAGTCTCAAGAGAGTTTAAGACTTACTCGTTCATTCTCCATTTTTATGACAAAAACTGGATCATCCTCTCTGAACAATGGTCCACAGCAAGTTGATGCATATGGACAGTCCTTATTATGCACAGGGAACGGGCAAGGCGGTTTCAGATCTTCTCCCAGTGGTGACACCCGTAATTTGGTGTCCATGATTTCACTGTGCCATGTCAAAACCCACCGAGCCCATTCCACACGTTCAGAACTGAATGCAGAGTGCTGAGTGTTGTCCTCTTTATATCTCCAATGGGCTGCTAACCCGTATTCTGCCTGATGGTGCATTTTCATTGTCCGGATTTGCACCTCTAAGGGATATCCATCGCTCCCAATTACAACAGTGTGCAGTGACTTGTACCTATAAAGAGATAAAGAAAAAAGGATTCAGCGATCAACTACAACGAACAAGACAAATCTCACAACCAACCAAGATGAAGACAATTCGTAATTAGAAGCAACTTGAAAAGGACCCATTAGGCTAGGTTTAATGCTATACCCATTGGGCTTCGAGTGAGCAATGTAGTCCTTGGACTTTCCAGGAACCTGTTTCCAAAGCTTGTGAACTATTTGCAGGGCTTCGTAACAATTATTTTCATCGGATACGATCAATCGCAATCCTCGCACATCGAGAATCTCTTCAGGAGTACGCTTTTTCCTGCACGATATCATCAAGAAGACAAGTCAGGAACATACATCCTAACGGATCACACCAATTATCAAAACATCAAAGCTCTAATAGATGTTATGAAGAAGCTGAATCTCAAGCATAGCGTTACGCAATCATAACATACTTCATCATTTTTTTATAAATGCTGTACAAATTCTTGGGTCGTCCAGATAAGTCAACGAATTGCACCCCTTCATTCCTCAATGCGTCGTCCAAATCTCTAATAGATGACATCACAAGACCTTCTCGACATCGCTCTGACAGCCTTGCTGACAGGTCTTGATGTTCGACAGGCTTCAAGCATTTGAAGCATAAATCTTCCAGCTCAGCCTTCCAGCTCCAAATGCCTAGGCGATTTGCCAAGGGCGCAAAAATTTCGAGCGTCTCATTGGCAATGCCGATCTGCTTGAGATATGGCAAAGCTCCCAGAGTTCTCAAATTGTGCAATCGATCAGCGATCTTGATGAGCACTACTCGAACATCAACCATAGCTAGAATCATTGTTCGCAAGCTGTCAGCCTCCGTTGGATCACGAACGGTGTTACTATCCCTGGCAAGCTGACTGAACTCACTCAACTTTGAAACCTGCCATCAACAGTTAAGGGCATGTCAGGTAACCATAATACATTTTTCAATTCAATCTGTCTGATATACCACAATAAAAGTACAAGTACATCTAATATTTAAAGTGTCCTGAGAAATGAGCTTCCTCAGCAGGCGGAGACATTACAATTCACAATGCTGTTTCGTGTAGGATATCTCCAAAGGATAGAAGTCACAAAGAAAATGAAGAAGATAAACATACCCCGCTGACCAAGCTTGCAACATCCTCTCCTAAAGCACCTCGCAGCAATTGCAAACTCAGATTCGAGTCATCAATAGCATCGTGCAGCAACCCTGCTGCGACCACAGTGTTTCCAACTCCAGTTGCCGCCAATATCAAGGCAGTCTCCACACAATGTGAAAGGAACGTGTCTCCATTTCGCCGGAACTGTAGTGCAAGCGTCATTGTATTCATGAGCTCAAACCTGGGCAGGATGAATGTTTGCAGCATATACCAATAATTTCGTAAAATTATGCTTATCAATAAGAGGAGCGAAGGAAATGACGACAGGCAAGACCGAGATAAAGATGTCACCACTCCTAATGACAAATGCATGAGGAAATAGGTACGTACTTGTCCCCTGTGGGCTTCTTCAGCCATTCTGAAGGCCTTGACAACGACAGGGTCACAAAACACCTTGTACCTAGCTTGTGCGCTTTTCAGGAGGTCGTCCGCTGAGGTTCCGGCTGAAGTCTTCACCTTGGCTTCCTCAGTGGTCACAGGTAAGATGCCATTAGCCTCTTCCGCTAGCCTCAACATCTTCTCCCTAGCCTCCAGAATTTCTGGTGATTCGCGATGAGATTGAGTTCCAAAGGTCTTCCCAGAGGTGTACAGCGGAAGCGTCAGAGTATCCAACGGCGAACTGTCATACGCAACAGCCCCTGCACCAAAACCTTCCACGCGGACTGGTTCCGAAGTGCTAGATGTGGTCTGCTGAGGCTCAAACGGCTGCCTGTTCATCACACGGGAGTGCTGGTCGCCAGCGCAGGTTACTGTACTCGCAACCTCAAATCCTACGCTTCTCGACGCTATGCACCTGTCCCTTTCACCCGACAAAGAAGATCTTCGACGTGACGATAATCTGTCAACATGAGGATCCAAGGGGGGAAGTCCCCCGCAACTTGGGCTTTCCCAGGCACTCACGGAATGTCCAGGTGAACCATAGCCGCCACTGCTGCGGGAAATCGGTCCTTGCAACACTGAGATGGGACTCCGCTCTTTCAGCTTCAGAGATGACGCAGGAATGTTCACAGCTCCAGGTCGAGAATCGTGACTTTCCCATGCAGTTAAACTCTGTGCAAATTCGCCATGAGTACTGCTCTTGAAAGAGCCTACCAGGCACGAGTTACTGGGGGAAGCGTCCAGCGCGTCACATCCAGAATGCTGCGAAAGCCTACTCACGTTGCTAGAGAACAAACTCGACAGCCCTCCTTGCATAGATTTCGACGAATGATGATGGTGTGCCTGCGGTCCCCGAAGATTCGCTTCAATGTCAATTGCTGGAGACGAAGGCCTACTACTCACAGAACACTGGGTACTCCAAGTTGCCGGAGGTGAGCTCGAATACATCGCCATGGTGCCCAACATGTGCAAGAATACCATACAAATACCAGCAATCAAATAAAGATATCTCCAAACCTATATCCAATGATCCAAAATTCGTCAACACCTGTTTTTCCCCCACTCTTCTCAAGCTCCAAACGCAACATGCACACCCTTACAAGTAACACTTCACCGCTTCTGTGGCAGCTGCGCAAATGAACAGCTTCACATCAATTAAAGCAACTTCATGCCAACTCTGATCTTCTGTTCGCCACGTGACTAAAACAGTCCACGCGGTCCTCCGCTCACTTACTTCCTTCCGTTCGAAGCTTCAAATCTGAGACAAGACGACGCCAAACCCTCCAACTTAAGCGGTCCCGTTCTGGTCACTTAGGACATCGGCTGTGACTCGTCTCGGCACCAAATGGAACGCGAGAAAGAGCTACACTAACCTCCACGGCAGTGCTTTCGGGAAACGCGAGCTGAGGTAAACGTGGAGAGTGCGAGCGAGCGAGCGACGGATATGCAAATGGCTATGGCGTCTCCTCGAGAGCATATTAGAATAGCCGGCTGAAGGGCATCGTTTATGAAATCCTGGGTGGCCCCCTCGTCGGCCCTCTTGCCTACCGTGCCCCTTACTTTCCTTCCCTACCTTTGCTTTGTTCTTTTCCGACCTTCCTCTCCTACAGCCCACCTGCCTCCCACCTTAATCTCCTACTTACCTACCGCCCACATGGCCCGACAGGTGGTGCGTTCCCACGCGCTCCCATGCCGGGCACCATAGCTGCCTGCCCGTGCCTGCCCGTTCCCGAAGAATGGGTTTGACATCCTTCCACTAAAATTTGAATCATAGCCATGTAACTTTTAAAACATATATATAGTGTATTATGCATTCTTCATAATAAAATATTTTATTTTTCATCCTTAAAATAGATAAAAATAAATAAAATAAAATACCCTAAAACCCTACAACTGCTAAAGTCAAATATGAAGTGTTTGGTTTTCTTGTGTTTTTTTTTAATTAATTTTACAAATTTGTTCAGCCTTTCAACAAAGAAGATGGTTCATTGCTTTACATTGCACAAGAATTTTGATCAAACGATGTTTTTCAAGTAAATGAAAAGACCAAGTAATAATTGCTAATGTATGTTTGATGAGTTGATAAATTGAACAATTATCATTTCCTTTCACTTTTTTCTTGTTGTCATATGCAAATAAATATTTAGATTTATGTTTACATGTAAATTGGTATGTTCCTAGTTAATTGTAATTCTACTTCATGAAGACAGGGTCAGAAAATAAGAAGTTTCAATGTTTGTGTTAAAATTATAATTGAAGTTTTTTAAAAAAAACTATATATATATATATATATATATAGAGAGAGAGAGAGAGAGAGAGAGAGAGAGAGATTCATCAATCATATCATTAAAAAGGAGTTGAATTATATTGTAAAGCATAATTATATTATTCATGTATTTATAAAATTTAAAGTAAATATATAAAAAAAATTAAGACACATTATTTAAAGGTTAAAAATAACAAGTAAAAGATTAAAATTAGAATGAATTATAATGCTTACACAGATTATATTGATCATTAAAATTAAAATTATTAAGAATAGTTTAACCCATGTCTGTTTCCAAAATGAAGTTTATGTTCATAAAACTCATCTTCAAAACGACATTGCTAATAGCATATTTGAATAATAAACATGTATTTTTATTTGTATCCTTTGTTTAAAACATCCATTGAGTGAGAGAAACAAAACAATAGTTTAATTTGTTGCAATATCCCATGATAAATGTGATGGAAAAACTGATGCAGAAACTATTATGATTGTTTTTTAAAATTTTGTTTCAAGTTTTAATGAAAATTTTATATTCCCATTTTTCAGTCAAACAAGAATAAGAATATACTATGAACCAAGTCCATGTGATTCATATTGTTGTATTTTTCAGGTACATGTTGCTTGTAGGTGAATGTGTGTGTGTTTTTTTTCTTTTTCTTTTTTTTCATTCACTTGTGTACTTGTTTTTTTCAAACCCAAACCAAATATAGTACACATAAGAGTGTTTAATTATTATTATTATTATTTTTTGTTGTGGTATTACTGAAATATGATTTATTTTTTTTCTCTCCTTCATAATACTGGGCTAAATTTAATCAATAACTTGATTTACTGCATTATTCCCAAAGGAAAGCCCTCAAATATAGTTTTGTATCATTTCTTTGTTTTCATGTTAGTCATTTTCATGAAAAGAATGACAGTTGTCAATTGATTCAAGCTTGTATCCCAAATGTAGTGAAGAGCACACCAAATAAAAAAAGGGTGAGAATTTCAACAAAGAGCCACATGGAAGTGTTACTCTGTGAAACCTTTGGAAAGGTCCTTTTTGCATCAACTTTAAAAATATATATATGTTATGGCTATGTCAGCATATGTCAGATGCAGGATTACAATGAAAACTGAGGATATTCTCAATATAAAAAGTAAAGTTTAATCAAATAGAAGGAAAATTCCATAGCTCTTTAAACCAATCTTTTAAAACTAAAATTAAAATTAACAAAAAAAAATAAAAAAAAATAAATGTGAAAGTGCACTGGGGAAGCGCACTGGGGAAGCGCATACTAAACCTTGGTTGCTTTATTTAGGGCTCATCTTGGCATTCACCATAGTTTTACTTTTTAGATGTTGATTGATCTAAAAGTTAACTCATGTCATGAGTACACAACAAGAAAAATGCTCAGATGAGGTATACAAACTTCACATCACAAAATTTTAAAAATAAAATAAATGTTCTCATGTCCCCACCAATTTGTGGTCTGATGTCTGCTTCTCAACCCACCTGGGAAAAACATCAGTTTCCATTGTAAACCTGCATTCACACTCGAATGAGGTGGCCATGGGGAGTTGGGGCTAGATTTGAGGTTATCCACAAGAGCCACCATTAGACCCAAAGACAACATAATAATAAACACACCAGGACAGGGAATTGGGGGGGAGGGGAATCTTTCATTCTCATCTCCTCCTCAACATGGCACTAGCAGTGTAAACGAAATCAACCCTAGAGCTTAGTGATATATATTATGGGAACATGGTTATAATGGTAGGGCCATAGGGGAAAATAAACAGTTGGGTGACATCAGCCCAGGGAGGAGAGGAAAAAGCCTCTAGCACATTTACGAAGCCCTTATCAAAATCACCACGTCAAATAAGAGCTCAGTGAAAGATTTACACCCCTGATAAAGAGCTTCACTCAGAGGGCTCCAGCTAGGCAATGGGCCCTTTTAACATTTGCACCTACGTGGGTACCAGCTGGCGGCTGACCTGGCAGCGGACGTCATAACCTGGATGGGAACTGTGTTCCCATTTGTCCCCCTTCTCATAGGAACAAACCTGAGGCTGTGTTTGTTCCCTATCAGATCCCCCGCCTTGTGGCAAAACCTACAACAAAACAGACGGGGTTGTAAAAGTTGGAAAAATCTATGCAACTTCAGGTGTCGAATTAGGGTTTAAAGAGTGTGGAAAGATGCAGAAAGTGAACTTAGTGATGCCACGGTACGGATTGTTAGGAGGGTATGTTTTTGGTGTGATTGGGGTCAAATAATGTGGAGAAAGCTGTGGCATTTGATTGTATTGGAAAATCACACATGGCCTCTCGACTCAGCGCCTTGTCATGTTTAAGAGGGAATAGATAAGTAAACGAAGAAATCAGTTAACAGTGGAATCTATGTATGAAAGCAAAGATAAGTATATTTTGTGTAAAGCAATCTGTTAATTGCAGTAATGAAATTGACAATTTGGATGCTTGCTAGCTTTGGAACTATCCCACGAAGACGTGCGGGGGGGAATGGACTCATGATTCCACAATCCAGCTAGCTCCCGAGGCAAATTGGCTGGAAAAAGGGACGGAGGTGAATAATTCCCAACAGCCGATTCTTCACGCCGGTGGCACCGTAACCATGCGGAAGTTTGTGGGGAAAAGGCGGAGGGGGGCAGGGTCGAAGATGGAAACAACTCGTCTCGTTTCTGACGCTGTTGAGGCGCCGGTTTTCAACGCAGAAAGTCGGGTGACGCCAGGTTCATAATTATCGGCAGTTTCTGCGAAACCGTCTGGGTATACAAGTGACGCCTTTGTCGAGCCTTAGGCTGCGTGGGTTTTGGAGGGATGTGTTCCAGGCAAAGAAGGTTCATGCGCCTTTACTAGTTGTGGGTGAATCTGTAAAGCAGGTCGAATTGAGAGGCGGAAATGGAATTAGTCGTCATTATAACTGAATCGTAGGAAAGAGCCGTGTGACTTTAGAATAAATCCAGGACATGTGTTGCACTCCAGGCTTGCTTCAATCATGCAGCTGATGCAGTTCGTAAATTCGAAATGCTCAGAATCACTCACTATTCTGTGGGAAGGGAAACGACGGCGCTTACTGCTGGAAGAAAAACAAAAATACTCCAAGACCAATAACTACTTGCAGAATGAAACGTCCATTGCCCTTCGCAGGAACAAATTAAGTTTCGGGGAGATGCATGAACCTCCCACAGTGCCTGCAAAAGTTTCACCGCGCACGCAAGTGGTTGTATATTCCCAACCGAGAATGGATCCTCGGGAATATAGCGGCAGGACAAGCGCAGTCGTCGCCGCGACATGGTGCCTAGCATCAACCGTGTGGTCCACCGCGGCGGAAGAGGGAGGAGTGGGACCCATGGTCCCGCAGTCTTGGTCCGACGTCGGTCGGCAAACAGAATCAGGCGGTCGGTAATGCGGATAGTTCCCGGTGTTGTGGCCGAAACTTCGAGAAACATTCACCACGTTGCTTGTGGTCCAAGGATTTTGCGCGACGCACGCCACTTGGATCGCGGGCTTCAGCAGCGGAGGATGAGTCATCCGCCGCCTGTGGCCCACTCGTTTGAGGGGAGGGTGTCAGAACTGGGAGAACTTTGGAAGTGAGATTCGGTCGAATGGGTCTCTCTCTCGGCGCTGCGAGGTTCCACATCGTCAATCTGCACGGACCATCGAGCGTTCTCGCGAGGTTGCAGCCCTCGTGGGCTGCAGATTCTTCACCAATAACGGTTCTGCTCAACACAGAACGCCAATCACTCTGACACGCTTTCGATACATCAACGTTCCATGTTGCTCAACTAACGGAGGAAATCACTTGAGGTCTACCAACAGCAGCAGCAGCGGGTTGGTCGATTCTTCAAGCCTACCTGCTCACGCCCATCGGCGTTCCGATGCTGCACTCTAATGCACGATTTGAAGTAAGCGATCTAAACGATAGAGCCCTAATTCTGCGGAAGGATAGAACCCTAATTCTCTCACATGGATTTCATCCTCCATGGCACGTGGATGGGTATATGCCCATCCATTATGAGGTATGTCCCGCTGATTGCATGGGCTATTGCCTGCCCCCTAAATTCTAACTTCTTAAATTAAATTCTTCATCGATGACCTTAAATACTAGGTTCCCTGATTTATTTTAATAATATCAAAATAAAAATAAAAATCTAACTCGTGATTCGAAAACCAAATTTCTTACATTTTATTCATAAATGAATTGTTTAAAATAATAAACA